TGGAGTCGGAGTCGGAGCATTTATCGACTCCGACTCCACAGCCCTGCCAAAAAGATTTACTTTGTAAATTCAATAAATGAATGAAAATGAGATTTAAGCTTGTTCTCAATTGTCCTTTCAATGCTGGGTAACGACTGCTTTTAAATAATTAACCCATAATACATTTCAGCTACCAGAGATTGCAGGTTGGATGAACCTGGAACTATTCCTTGTTTTAGTTCCTTTTCACAAAAAACACAGACCACACTATTAAATGGTGATTTTATTTAAAGCAAAACAAAGATTATAAAGCCATTAAAATAAATATGCTCTGGGTGCATCTAAACTTATTGCAAACCCCGCACTAGGTGTCCAATTTTCGTTTCTTTAAGAGATGTCCTTGTCTATAGGGACTTTCTGCCCCCCCTGCTGGGAAAAAAGGGGAACTGTTACTTAAAATGATGACACTTGGGATTTGTTGCATCATAAATTCTGGGGCAGGTTGCTCACCTGAATGGGCACTGTGGTGCTGCTGGGGAGGTCTGTACTGGTGGCGGGCAGCTAGATCCTGGGGTCTTGCGGGAGGCCGGAGAGAGCCTATTCTCTGGGGGGTCTTGCTGCGTGTCAGCATCTGGTGGCCTCCACTAGGGGTGGAGGGTTGTTGGTACTTCTCCCCTGCTTTGGGCTCCTCTAGAAGGTCCATACCTTCCAGGGTAAAGTTCCAAAGCTCAGGGTCATCTGGAGCACAGATAAACCATGATCTGGATTTAAAGGGTAGGGGTACAATCTATCTAGTCTGTTAACATTTAGGGGCACAAAAGATTTCACTGTTTAGACTTAAAACCTATTTTAACAAATAGCGTTCAGTTGCAATTTGGTATATTTACACCATCTGTCCACCCTACAGGAAACTAAAAGCAGACGCCAGTTTTGCAGCGTGTGAGGAAACCTTATCTGTGCAACTGATGTAAATCCAGCGGACACAGGAGATTAAATAGGACTTTGCATTGAGCTGCAGTAACTGATTCCGATCAATTAAAAAATGCCTGGATCAGCCTCGATTCCTATCCTAGACATCGGCTTGGAATGTCACTGAAATAAAACCATCTCTGGCATTACTGTCATGAATGTGGGCAACCAAAGGTCTTATGCTACCAGCTAGATGCTGCTCCTCCTCTCCACGGGTGGCACGGGGTGCTGCGGGGGTACTGTGGCTGACGCAGGAATCGCCCGAGCCGGAGGAGTTTGTTCTACCTGTGAGACGGAGCACAGTTGGACTAACTCAAGGCAGACACACATCCTGGATGCATCACTCCTATGCCATCTAAGGTCTAGCTCTAGAGGTGGTGAGTCGAATGCACCCTCCAAATAGCCACTGAATTATTCATGTGTCTGTTACAAATTTAATGGGTGTTTACAGGCTGTTTATGGAAAATCTATTTTAAATGACGTTCTGTTGACTTGTTTGAGTTGACCTTGGATGAAGCGTGACGTCTCCTCTCTGGACACGCCTAATTCCCCTTTGGTGATACGCTGGCCCTCTTGTCTGCTCCGGGCTTCCATCTCCTGACGAAACTTCTGCTGCAACTGCTGCTGCCTCAGCTTCCTCAGGTGCTTGGGGTCCGAGGAACCGGCCACGTCGGAAATGTCAGCGGCTGACCTGCACACCCAAGACCAAAGAAACGACTGTGAGATCGAGGGCTGAAGGAGCTGGACTTGCGACTGTAAGGCTGCTTGCTCTTACCTGGATAAGTTGTCAGGTATGTTTTCAATCTCCTGCTGGTTTATGCCTTTGCACAGTGAGGTTCTAGCGCTGACCGAACCCTGAATTGTGGAGGCTGAGGTACACGCTGTGGCGGCCTGCCCCAGTGCACCATGTCTCGTGCTACTGTGTTTGTTTTCCAGAGCCAAGCTGCAATACCTCGCCTTCTCCACCAGGGGCTCACTGTCCACGCGTTTTGTCTGAGCTGGGTCCAGCGGGGGTGGAGGCTACAACCATTATAATGGCAACAGTTTGACTCCAAATGCCCATCACCACCACCAAAAAAAAAGGTTTGCCAATAACATATTTGACTCAAAAACAAACTACTTCATAAGTCACATCCAGGGCATTAGGCTGTGCTGACCTGTTTTGGGATTTTGTTGATTGCTATGAGGTACTCCTTGTTCAGGATACAGTTTCCCAGTACATTGCCAAAGCACCTTAGAAGGAAGCAGGACAACAGTGTCAACCTTGTGAGGGGAAAAAAGGAATTCCTAGAAGACATGCTAAGATGGTGCCAGAATAATGTAGGACAGTATCCGGTTTGTAATTAGGCTACAGTTTTAAGGCACAGGTCATAGGGTGACATGGATATCCAAACCCACTGACTGCCAAATATTGCTATGGAAGAGGCTTCATCAGATCAAAGATTAGTGATTTAGGTTCTCTGTTTCTAACATGCTTGTGGCCTCTTGTCTGAGTACAGGATTATATACTTGAGGGCTCTTTTCAGTCCATCTGTGACAGCCTCCTTCCGCGCCTTTTCCAGCGACATGGCTTTAGACTTCAGTCCCTCACTGACGCCGTAACCCACATCCTCATGGTATGAGCCGTCCTGCAGGAGAGTTACACAGCTGTTAATTACACAGGCGTCTTCCCTGTCCGCTGAAAATGAAGATGTCAGATTTTTAAATGGGACTGAATGCTATGAAACACAATGGATCCAGTCTCATTCTAACTGGTTTGTGCATTAACTGACATCTCAACAGAAAACTGAGCAGAAGAAATATTCTAAGTATTTCGTTATTCCTTCCTTCTTCCTGGTTTTGTTTCTTTATTACAAGGCTTGAATTTATTCACTGCACACAGTATAGGCTGTATATTTCAGGTATAGCCCAAAGCAGTTTTAAAATATCATCACTTTTGTTTTTCATTCACATTTCCTGAAGAGCCTGACTACCAGTATTGTGAGAACTTCCATCCTCTTACAACAGCAGATTGTTGCTCTTACCTTCAGCTGAACCTTCACAAATGCACTTACTCCAACATAGAATTTTCCATTGATGAGGTCCACAAAATCTTTAAAATCGCATGCATGGATAGAAAAAATAAACTTGTATCAGGGACATACTTCCAGTCAAATCCTGTACTCCCCTCTGATTACTAAGTGGAAAAAATCCTTTGGTGCATGTGCCTATTACAAAAAGAACCCTAATGAAATCCAAAATGTTTCACAGGCCATAAACCTGACTGATTGATTCAGCTAAAAATTAATGCACTGATTGTAATACATCAGATACTGTTCCACATATGGAATACATGGTAACATTGAGCTGAAATGCCACTTCCCATGGTCCCCAAGGAAGCAGATGTCTCTGCTCACCTACAGTCTGCTGGGAGATGGAATGGGACCAGCCATTGTACCCAAACATCTCATTAGCTAGGCTGATCACGCGGTGTCCCTCAATGTAGCAGACCTGTAGTACAGACACAACATTAACTCTGGAAAGAACTGTAAATGTAGGGAAATGAGTAGCGGCGGCCTACCTTCTGTCCACCTCCTGCCATTCTAGTGCTGATGTATTCAGGGCCGAGCGTCTGCCGTAGCGCATTCTGAACGGCCTGGTACTCCTCTGCAGTGTACTGGTACTGGAAAATTAAACGTCACTTTACACGGCCGATATGTCGCCAGGATCAACCCTAGATCTGCCACTAAAAAGGTAAATCCGTGTTGCATATGTAGTACAAACGTTTCATTGTTTAATATTCTTAAACGGGTTTTGATGTCCCCTATAGGAATGACTGACGATGCACGTGACCTGTCACTGGTTAAGTCTGTTAGAGAGAATAAAAATGTTTCATTAAAAACAGCAGACGGCAGAGTGCTGAAAATCTGAGTAAGTCTTTACAACCAGCCGCAGCCACAGACCTGTCCGAAACACAGTTTGGGAGCGAGGGCGTCCTCGGGTCTGCGCAGGGTGGCGGTGTCATTCTGCATGTTCGCTTTCCACTTCAACACGACAATGTTCAATACGAAATCTTCTAGTCAGTGCCAAACTTCCCCAAAAACAGCCACGTCATTTACCTATTTTTTGTTAAATTGCGGATTCTTTGGCAGTTAAAAGCGCTAAGCGTTCATCACTGGCCGACACACCACTACACATTGCAGCTGGTGTCAAGTTATTTATTGCAACACGGACTACAGACAAGATGCAAATCGTGAAGTTATGCGGTCATTAGATTTTTTTCATCTATAACGGAGCGCCGATTATGCGTACATTAAAAAAAATAGTTTACAGAAACAGCCAGTTACAATCTATTTCTAAATCCGCGCCCGCGACAATAGTAAGTGCAGGATGGGAATGAGGTCGTAAATTTGACGACCAGAGAGAGCCGCCATTTTGGATGTGGCATATGCAACGTTACTGTGCAAAGGCATAAACCAGCAATAGTAAGTGCAGGATGGGAATGAGGTCGTAAATTTGACGACCAGAGAGAGCCGCCATTTTGGATGTGGCATATGCAACGTTATAATGCGAACGAGTAGCGATAAACCATGGATAGTAAGCCTGCTTATCCATCGTCATCATCATTATTATTATCATCGACTATTATTCAAATATTTAAATAGTGTAGCGTACGAACTAGTTTAAGAGCAGAACAAGTTCATCTGCATTTAACCACACGATGGTATATGGTACGATGGCTTATGTTGCCTTACAAACTGATTTCCTTCGCATGAAATGTCTTTAGCTGCATTATGAGCGTTACTTTTTTTTCTGAAGAATACAAACAGTGCAATCATTTTTTAATGGAAGTAACGATAGTACGTTTAATAACATTAATGATATACTGCTTAACTGATGTTTGGTCAACAATACGGAGTATATGAAGTGCTGTCGCTGATCTCTACTAGTTAATACGCGTAGCAATAGATCCTTTCTGCATGGATCTCTTGTACATTGTGCTCTGCACATCAGTTTCACCATGTCAATAATATATTGCACGAAAGGGTGCCGTTGGGTTTTCTGCCTTTTGAAAGCGCCGCTCTACCTGACAGTAGATGATTACGGCTAAAACAAACATAACCGGCCACGGCGGAGTCCCGACTTAAATGGGTTACCATGTGGAAATAATGAAGATGATGGGAACTGAAAAGAGAAAAGTATGAAAGAAAATTACACCGGAACCAACATTTCACAGTGAGGGTGTTCTCGTGGATAAAGGAAGCTTATGTGTTTTGGACAGGCCTCCATAGGGAGTGTAAATAAGGGGTCAAATCCTAGATTAAACTCATGAGGCAGTCAGCGGCGGTGGCTGCTCGTCCAGACACGTAGGTTGTGGGTAACATATAAATAGAACGAGCAACGAGTTCCGAGTGAGGAAGTGTCTCTATCAGGGCAGGAGCTGGGTTGCTTTGCAGGTAAATCCTTCTTGGCAGTCATTTACTAGATTTTTTTTAAAGCTGTATATGGACCCATATGATTCTTATATGTTGACATTTATGCATTTCAATGCAAATGAGGATCACTGTGTTGACTGGTACAAGAGAAATGGTGGCGAAATTAAATCCAGGCAGAAAAAGTCCACATACCAGGGCTCCTTATATCTGATCCTCAATTCCAGGCCTCCTTTTCAGTTCTCCAACAGGAGGTAAGGAGTATGCACTGATACAGTGCACTGCCACACCCATCACATGACAAACCACCTCAGCAGTGAGAACTTTAGTGCAGCCATGTGGCAGGTGATACTTCAGCAACACACCAGTCCAAATGGACCAGTGTCCTGCCAATAACCCCCACTGTTTTTTTCCCCCCTGTAAGTTGGGGGACCTCCTTATAGGGCTGGATGTAGATTAATATCATACCCAGAATGAAGCAGTTGCAGTTTAAGGGCCTTGCTCAAGGGCCCAATGGAGGAGAATTACTCTGGGCATTCATGGGATTTGAACCAGCAACCTTCCAGTTACAAGCACAGATCCCTAGCCTCAGAGCCACCACTCCACCCAGGTCATCAGTTTAATAATTACTGATTCTGATTAGCCAGAGGCTTCATGCCTGGGTCACGGGTAAATGAAGGCTGGAAAATCAGCAGGGCTCTGCCTTTAGGGCTGTGATTTGAATAGCCTGGGCATATACAGTATTCTTTACAAGCCCCACTTGTGCACATTCTGCACTGGGAGCCCCCTGCAGGTACATGCTGAACCCTGCAAGCGCAGAGGTACTACCAAACAGTATACCCTCCACACCCTCGCTGGCACCCTCTACAGGTGGATGAGTCACATGACAAGTGGGGATCGGCTGGTTTCCATAACTCGCTGTTTCCACCGGTGAGAGTTTGAGGTGAGAGCAGGAAGCGGCTTGCCACAGTATCGGGCTGTCAGCTGACGTAAAGCTAGCCGTGCCTCCAGGGAGCGTGGGGGTGTGTTTCTTTTTTAATGTAGTTAATGTAGCTACATGTGATGTATACAGTGACATTCTTTAAGGATTTAAAAAGAAACAGAGCAGCACTGTTAGGCTGAGGTAGGCAGTTCAGTCAGTCGCCGCCTCCATATATATATGGCCCCCCTAAGTACTTTTTGAAGTTTTGCCTCAACTAAACATAGTCAGTAAAAAATTAAGTTTGCCTCGCTGAACTATTCATTTTTATCTCATTATAATTAATATATTATAGATCTCATTATATGTGTAAATTTAATTATAGCTTGAAGATATAGGTATTGTTTATATTCAGTGTAATGATCTCAATAATGATTTTTACAGTTGTGAAAAAGGTTTCCCACAAATCTACCAACATGAGAGGTGTAAAAATATTTTGACCTGCTTCCTGTTGGTATAGGCATGTTTTTAATACCCATCTCCTGATGTATAAAGGTCAGAACCTTTAAGATAAGTGAGACAGCTGTGGTATTATCACAATGAGCCTTTTTGGCTCATTTTTTGGTTTCGATTTTAAACACAACCAAAATAGAGATGGAAGCGCATCCGTCCAGCGAAAGACAAAGTGATTCCACCCAGCCAGGTATCATAATTTGCCGATTTCAGCATCTTAGATGCCCCACATTGTCTCTGATATAATCTTTTTTATTATTATTACAAAAATCAAGCGGCGTTTAACAGCTGACTGGGGTTATTCTACAGTAGGTGAGTGTACAAGCAGTAACTATCAAGCCTTGTCATACTGAATCAAGGCAAGCCTCAAAGGACAGTGTTCACCTTAAGCTGAACAAATGAGCTAAAGACCTGAGCCAAGAACCAAATTCAGGCTGGCGAGGGGGGTGGGGTCCTCCTCTGGATGGAAAGCCAGTTCGGTAATGATGATGTGTTCTGTAAGGACCGCCTGTGATGAAGCGTGTAGCTGAGCAGACTGGCATGTGGAGCCTGCCGAAGGCAGCTTTTGGAGCTGAATGGCAGATCATGTGACTGCAGTTGGAAATAGAAGGAACGGTCATTATTTATTTTAGTCCTGAGAAGCCCAAGTCCAGGCTTGATTTTTAACTATAAATTTCGACCGCAAAGACACTGCATTGCTTTATAATCATACCTAGATATTTATAAGTAGAGATCAACTCCAGTTCTCACATGTAACATGTTTAGGAGACCGTTCTGTCCCTTGCCATGTGTTGCTGATCTATGCAGAATTAACATGCTACGTACATGTACCCAGAAAAAGATTCATTGTGTTAAAGAATGAAGTGCTGCAGATGTGTTGAGCGTAACGCATAGCATGCTAAATGTTAGCCCTCTTCATTATGTGCTGGAGTCTGTCCTCTCAGGCCTAGCTGACTGCATTGCCGGTCCCTCCTTTCTTGGTTCGTAAGGTGAAAACCCCAGTAAGATGTGGCCCGATAAGGCTGATGTGTTGAGGTTTAGGAGACGTTCTGCAGGCCTCGGCGATGCTGCAGACATATGCAGACGGACTTAGATATGCACACTGTGCAAGCACCATCCCAGCCTCCCACCAACACACGAAGGTGTAGGGGATCACTGCTCTGCAGGGGGTGGTCTTGGGAAGCCGGGGCTCCTGGAATCCAACATGCCTCCACCTGTTAATGTGACTGTTCGCTTCATTTGCTTCTGGTTAGGTGCCTTTGTTGGTGAGCTGCACCACTTGGGGATTCTGTGCTGCTGCTTCTCTTCTTTAAAATGCAATTTTTTTTTTTTTGTACCTGGTGTTTGAGGTCGTGATTTTTTCTGCAGATAACCCATGGTAATGCATTTAGGCATCTCAAGTTGCTTTCTTAAGCTTCCTACCCCGTGTCATTCGTTAGGCTCTTAACAGCTGAATCGTTGAGTCTGATACAGAGGCCGTCGATTTCGCTTGGAAGAAAGCCCACCGCTGGGTGACTGAAAGCCTTTCGCTGAAGGTGGCCGGGTGTCATGCCTTGTGGGCTTTTTGAAGTCCAGCCTGCTGAATATATGTGAATTGGCTTTTTTTTTTGCAGTGTAGTTGAGTCATTTCTGCTGCCACTTGTGGATTCATCAAGTAAAAATTTAACCACATGGTCAGGTGTGGCCAGCTGCCTGGAAACCGCTACGGTGACCTTCAGCGGAACCCAAGAGGCCATGTTTAGGCTGAGCAAGAAAAGGAACGGAATCTTGTCTGAGGGGTCCTTGACCCATCAGTGGTTGAGGTTATTGGAGTTATTAATTTACCCTGCAAACAGGCAGGGCTGCCCCCAAATCTAAGTCCTGATTTCTTGGGGGGATCCGGCAGATTCCTGTAGCTCTGCAGGCTGCTTTTCTGTTTTGTAAACAGAGAGATGATGGCGGGATTGATGCTGCAACAGACTGAAACTCGGCAACCAGTGAACTCATTCAAGATAAGCCTGTGTCAGTAAGAGCCTGTGAACTGCTGTGAAGAGCCTGTAGTCTTCAGCAACCTTCCTAGGTTGAAAGGCAGGTCTAATAATTGCCTGAAGTATCAGTTATTTTGGCTTCCAGACTACCTTTTTCCACTAGTAACACTGGTGCTCCTTACTGACAATTTTAGGAGCACCACGTACATCGACGTGCCACACATTCATATTCTTTCCATCTTAACTGCATTAGCGATAAATGCTTTGCTAATAAATATACAATTTACAGTGTGATGTTTTATTTTAAAAGAAAAAGTCATATAGTGAAGTAGTGTTTTAAGAAAAAATCATTAAGGTGAATGGTGCTTTTTAAAAGCATAAACACTGAAGTTTCATTGTCACCAAAGGGCAAAGCGAGAGCGAGAGGTCTTATGAAGCAGGTGATGACATCCTACACAGAATTGTCCACAACCCACATTAGGATGACAGTCTCGTGTTAGCCACGGCACTCTAATTGCTCACTGTCTTTCTCACACACACGCGCACACACACACACACACCAACGGAGTTGGGTATCATTCAGATTTCATTGATTCCATATCTGATTCCGGTTCCGCTCATCTAGTCCAGCTTTTATTGA